GAATGAGGGGGGATTTGATAGCAGCCTTCAACTACCAGAAGGGGGGTTCCAAAGAGGATGGAGCTCGGCTGTTCTCAGTGGTGGCAGATGACAGAACAAGGAGCAATGGTCTCAAGTTGCAATGGGGGAGGTCCATGTTGGATATTAGGAAACACTATTTCACTAGGAGGGTGGTGAAGCACTGAAATGCGTTACCTAGGGAGGTCGTGGAGTCTCCTTCCTTGGAGGTTTTTAAAGCCCGGCTTGACAAAGCCCTGGCTGGGATGATTTAGTTGGGAATTGGTCCTGCTTTGAGCAGGGGGTTGGACTAGATGACCTCCTGAGGTCCCTTCCAATCCTGATATTCTATGAATCAGGCATCCATTTGTACGTGCATTTCTGACAAAACATCACAATGTCTGTGTCTCCATTCATGACACACAGGGCCACGTCCTCAGCAGCTGTCAGTCAATGTAGCTCCAGTGAAGTAGATGGCACTACATCAATTGCTACCAGCTGCGGCTCTAGCCCAGGGTGCCACAATGAGACACATGCATGATGACATCACATCCCAGAACAGCAAGGAACATTGACACAATTTCACAATGTTGCAAACCTCCAAATAAATTGCAGGCTCCAGAACAGGGCTGGGGAAAATCAAGAGCGTGCTGTGACCATGGAGATGGGGAACAGCCATAACCAGCAGCCGCTGAAGAGAGCCCTACTGAATGTTGTTCAGACCTCCTCCATTGGGTCAGGCGATCTCTGTTAACAGCTCCATGTAAACATCTGCATAGAGCAAGCTATTAGCAGAGCCCAGTTTTACTGATCCAACAAAACCCAGCATCTATGACACATATTCTTGAGCACCATTAACTGACACCTTATCGCTTGACTATTTATGTATATATAGACATGCAACACTCTTTTAATAACCTCTCAGTTTGGAGGAAGAGGGGAGAAGGAGGAAGGCCCTTTGAACTTCCAAAGGAGTGCAGAGAAGCCCTACAACCCCTGGGAAGAAGATACTTCTGTTGCATGTGCAATGGCCACTTTGACAATTTGAGATGAACAGGCACATACATTGTCAAGGCTGATTCCCCACTTTGGCACTTTGAGTGCAGAAGATGGGGGCCCGCAAGGATTTTAAAAATTAATACTGGCCACTCCAGGCGTGTATTAAACTCCCAAGGTTACAACTTTTCTCTGACCTTTGAAGGGTGATGCTGCCATCACCCAAGAGCAAACCCCACCCCCTTTTGAGAACCCAGGAAGAAACACTTGGGAATTCCTTCCTGTGGGGTACCCTCAAGCACTTTCACCCCCTTTCCCAGGAAGAGCTGAGAAAAAAAAACAAAGGAAATCAGCTGTTGCCACCAGCTAATTTAAACGACATATGCACAAACCTCTTAGGAACACAAAAATCCAACCCTGTTTTAAAAAAAAGGTAAAACAAAAAGAAAGAAAATACATTTGGAATTTAGGCTTTTTGCTAAATTAAAAAAAACACACAAAAAATAAGCATCAAGATAGCTCTCTTGAGGTCCAGCTTAAAGGTTACAAGCAAAACAAAAGCACCTGGGGTTAACACAGAGGAGTCCACAAGCCATAAAGAAATAAAAGAGATAAACCTAATTGCGTCTTCCTAGACATTTCCTGATCTACTTACATATCTGGGGTTCCAACTCTGTAGTTTCTAGGTATGATTTGATGATTTTTCATACTTGGTGCAGGCTCTTACAAAATAATTCCAGCCCTGTCCCTGCTCTCCAGGAGAACAACACAGAAGACAAAGGGGAAGTTTTTTCCCAATTTTAAAAAGTTCTAGCCTTCCCATTGGCTCTTTTGGTCAGGTGCCCACTCCCTTCCTTTTACCTAGGGACTTTTTAAACCTTTACAGGTAAAGCAAGTAGAGAACAGCTACTAACAGGGGTTTTATAGCTAACTGGCTGGCTGGGTGTCCATAAAAGGGAGCTACCTGCCCCACATACACACACCCTTCATTTGTCACACATATGCATACTCCCATCCAAATGCTGATCTCATTTACTCTAGCGCAGGGGTTAGCAATCTATGGTACGTGCGCCAAAGACAGCACGCAAGCCGATTTTTAATGGCACACTGGTGGCTGCCGGGGTCCGGGCCGCCAGCCCCGCTCAGCCCGCTGCCAACCCAGGCCGGCAGCGGGCTGGGCGGGGCCAGTGGCTGGGACCCTGGCAGGCAGCAGCGTGCCATTAAAAATCTTGCCCGGCCCAACCTGCTCTTCTCCGCCCACCGCTCTCTCCTGCGGGCGCAGGGGGCAGAAGCTTGGTCCTGCTGGCTGCTGCTGCAGGGCAGCCTCCACTGGCAGCCAAGCTCCCTCCTCCCCTGCCTCTTCCCCCAGCGTGCTGGGTTCCTGCCCCTCCTCCTCTCCCTCCCTGCAGCTGAACAGCTGATTGCCCTGGAGAGGGAGGGGGAGAAACGGAGCCGGAACCGCAGCCGCAGCGTGCTCGCTGCTCTGGAGAAGAGGCGGGGATGGAGTATTGGGGAAGGGGGTGGAATCAGGGCATATCCCCTCCAGCCCCTTGCCGTGAGCCGCTCAGGGCAGGGGGCTGGGAGCATCTCCACGACTTCAGCCCACACCCCCAGCCCCCTGCCCTGACTCCTGAACTCCCCACATCCCCCCAGCCCTCTGCCCTGAGCCCTGCACCCCCCACATCCCTCAGCCCCCTGCCTTGACCCCTGCATCCCCATCACACACATCCAGCCCCCTGCACTGACCCCTGCACCCTCCCCACGACCCCAGCCCTGACTCCGGCACCCCACACACATACCCAGCTCCCCCACACTCCATGTCCTGACTCCTGCACCCCCCTCACACATCCCCAGCCCTCTACCCTGACTCTGCACCCTCCTCACACAGCCCCATCCCCCTGCCCTGACTCCTGCACCCCCCTCACACATCCCCAGCCCTCTACCCTGACTCTGCACCCTCCTCACACAGCCCCATCCCCCTGCCCTGACTCCTGCACCCCCTCACACATCCCCAGCCCCCCCACATCCCATGCTCTGACTCTTGCACCCCCCACATCCCCACCCCCACCCTGAGCACCAAACGGAAGCTCCCGCACACACACGCACACCCACATTCCCACCTGCACCCCTCACACCAAATGGGAGCTGCCCAGGTAAGCGCTCCACACCCAAACCTCCTGCCCCAACCCTAAGACCCCTGCCTCATTCTAGCTCCTGGCCAGACCCTACACCCCAACCTGCTCCTTCACCCGCAGCCCTGTGCTCAGTGCACTCCCACCCTCAGCTCAGTGCAGAGAGAGAGGAAGAGAATGGGCTAAAACCAGGGAGAAGGTAGGTACCCACTCTATGTGGGCAGGGGCCAGGACCCCAGACTGGCAGCGGGCTGAGCGGGGCTGGCAGCTGGGACCCTGGCTGTCAGGAGCTGGCGGACAGAACCCCAGACGGACAGCGGGCTGAGCTGTGCAGCCCACTGACGGTCTGGGGTCCCAGCCGCCAGTCCCGCTCGGCCCGCTGACGGTCTGGGGTTCTGGCTGCCAGCCCCTTGCCAGTCGGGGTCCCGGCCACAGTCCACACTCAGCCTGCTTCTGGTCTAGGTGAATGGAATCCCAGGCCGGCAGCAGGCTGAGCGGGCCGGCGGCATAAGCTCAGCATTTTAATTTAATTTTAAATAAAGCTTCTTAAACATTTTGAAAACCTTGTTTACTTTACATACGACAATAGTTTAGTTATATAATATATAGACTTATAGAGAGAGACCTTGTAAAAACGTTCAAATATATTACTGGCACGCGAAACATTAAATTAAAGTGAATAAATGAAGACTCAGCACACCACTTCTGAAAGGTTGCCGACCTCCGCACTAGCGCAATCCCACAAACATCAGTGGGACAGATTCTTGGTCCCAGTATGGCCACTGTTTATCATTTTGGCGGTGCAAAAGGACTGTAAAATTGTTCTACCTGTGCAGCTGAGGCTGCTCCATCTTGCACCAAGGGGGTAACCTGGTCCCAGGTTATGGGGTGTAAATGTGGCATACAGTCAGACTACAAATAAACAGCTTCCACACAGCTCAAGTTCCAGCTTTATTAGGTTTGTTTTCCAGGGACCACATCCTGCCTGGATCTCTGTACAGATTATAGGAGCTGAATAATCTACTGCAAGTAATCATACAATTACAGCACAGGAATGATTATGATAATACTTCTGAGCATGCCCAATGTAAATTAGAAGTTTCCAGAAAGCTGAGTACTCATTGAGCTGAGTACTCATGCAATTAAAAGTGCTAGGCTTTCTTTGCTAATCAGCTTGACTCACTAAACATTACAGGCCAAGCTCCCCAGGTGGAATAA